TGCAGATCGGATGGTGTACTAGTCGCTAGGACTGATTGTTTCCATTAATTTTGGTTTTCTTCTTTCTTCTTTGCTCTTGACGAGGAGAGACCCATTGCTGCATCTAGATGGCAGCTGCCAGCAAATCAATTTTAAATATTTATTAGGTTTTTTGTTTCATGTAGAAACATGTTGTTGTTGTTAGGTGCCGTGGAGTCGAACCCGACTCATAGCGACCCCTTCTTGGGTTTCCAAGACAGTATCACTACAGAAGTAGATTGCCCAACCTTCCTTCTCAGGAGTGGCTGGTGGGTTTGAACCGCAAGCCTTCTTGTTAGCAGTCAAGTGCCTTAGGCACTATGCTACCAGAGCTCCCTAGAAACATGTAGTGGCTCCTAATTTCCTTCTCCAGATAATTCCTGTAGGCATTTTTTTTTAAATGTCTATCATGTAAAAAGTTAGAAAATCCAGAAAGTTCAGAGCACCTTAAAATGAAAGTAAAAGCCACTGTTTCTCTTCATTTCCCTAAAGTTAACAGCTATCAGAAATTTGAGTCCTAGGAAAAAATATGGTTATATTAATATGTGTACTTATGTATTTACAAAAGTTTAATGTATTTTTGTTTTGTTTTTACAAAGATATTTAATTATAATTGATATATAATTGAGTCTTTTTTTTTTTTTTTTTTGCCTTTCCCAAAGAGATTACACTGTGCTTGTTATTCTGCTACTTTTTACTCATGTTGTTATTGGGTGCTGAGCACTCCAGTTTTGACTTTTAGCGACCCTAGAATGACAGAGTAGAACTGCCCCATAGAGTTTTCTTGGCTGTAATCTTTTTTTTTTTTTTAAATGAAACTTTACATAGCACAATAGAGTCCCATTTAACAATTTCTACACAAATCATTCAGTGACACTGGTTACATTCTTCACATTGTATCTATATTCTCATTATTTCATTTTTGTTCTGTGTTTAGTAAGTTAACCTCCCAGCCCCTCCCTTCTCATTTTTGCTTTAGAGTAATTGTTGACCATTTGGCATTATATAAATGATTTTTTAAATGAGTGCTGTAATAGTCTTTATTTTATGAGCTAACCTGTTATTTAGCTAAAAGTTTTAGTTTAAGGTTTAGAGTAGCTCAGAGGCATAATCTTGGGGATTCCTTTAGTTTTGACTCGTCCAGAGTAAGTCGTTTTTTGTTGAAAACATTTGAAGTTCTGTTCCACGTTTTTCTCCCATTCTGTGAGGATCCATCTATTGTGGCCCTGATAAGAACGATTGGTAGTGGTAGCCAGGCACATCTATCTCTGGTCTCAGGATAGGTGAGGCCATGGTTCATGCAGACAATAATTCCTGTAGACTAGTTCTTCTCTTAGTCTTCGATTTCCTTCTTTCTCTTTTGCTCCAGATTGGTAGAGACCGATAGTTGTATGTTAGATCCAAAAAAACCAACCAAACTCACTGCTGTCGAGTTGGATCCAACTCATAATGACCCCTCCTTGGGTTTCCAGGGCGGTATCACTGTGGAAGTAGATTGCCCAGTCTTCCTTCTGAGGAGTGGCTGGTGGGTTTGAACCGCCAGTCTTCTTGTTAGCAGTCAAATGCGTTAGGCACTATGCAGCCAGAGCTCCTTGTTTGTTAGATGTCTGCTTGCAAACTTTTAAGACCCTAGTCACTACTTACCAAACTAAGGGTAAAACATAAACTGTATTATGCCAGTTTACTGAGTTGTGCCACGAGAATATGGCCTTAATGGCCTTAATGGAAGCAGATTGCTAGGTCTTCCATAGAGCCGTTGGGTGGGTTTGAACTGCCAATCTTTCAGTTAGCAGCTAAGCGCTTAACTGCAGTGCCACCAGGGCTCCTTTAATAAAGTCTCACTTCTTCCCCATAGACTTCTGGGGGAGGCAGGGGTGGGGTGGGAGGGGCTGAGATTCCCCCTCTGTCTCTGAGGAGATTCTGGGAGTGGACGGGGTAGGTAGCTAATGTCTCTTGGTTGACCCTGGTGCAGGCTGGGAGATGGAGGCACCTTCTAACACCAAGGTTATGATTTGGGAGAAGGAGTTTATAAAGAACTTAGAGGCTTGGAATATAGTATGAAGAACACTGTGCTCAGGAGATTGGGAGTCTGCCGTTGTCTCTCCATGGGCCAGCCTTTCCCCTCACAGGCCCCTTATATTCCTTGTCTCTTAGATTGGGATTGAGGTAGCTGATCTCTAAGGACCCTTCCAATGCTAAAATTTTGAACAGCTGTTCAGTCTGTGTTTGTTCTGAGATACTGTATGTGGTAGTTCCTGCCTTCAAGGAGCTTATAGTCTAAACTTAAAATTTATGTGTAACAGTCTAGTATAACTAGACTATCCATCTCTCAGCTTATTCCTTCTCACTGCAGTATGATGATAATGAGTGTGACAAGGTGAAAATTAATAAGAAATGGCAGAAATTCAAAGTCCTTTACAGTGGCAGGTCTCACTGAGGGAGGATAGACACTGCCACCTTGAGGAAAATTATTGTCTTAGCCACAACACCAATGGGAGTGTGACTTTTCCCTTGGGTGGTGAAATCACTACTGGTTGATAATATGCAAAGTACTTCATATATGTAATCGTCCTTGAGACAACCCTTTTAAAATATTTTTTTTCTTCCAGGTTGATTCTAAGGATAGTTCCCGTAACTTCACAAACTCTGAATTTGCAACCGAAGTTGAGGGTCAGAATGATATGACAGAGGAACCAAACAAGGTCCAGAAAAGGAGGAGGGAGAGACTTCGAGACCAAGGCTCTACAATGATATACCTGAAGGCCATCCAGGGTATCCTGGGGAAATCGATGCCAAAAAGGAAGGGTGAGGCTGCCATTAGGGCAAAACCGAGCATAAGGGAACGTCCTACCCATGGAAGAGGGCCAGCCAGGAGTGTCATGGTCTCTGCTTCTCAGACAGAAAAAGAGCCAGTCCCAGAGGTCAGAGCAGAGGAGGACAAGGCTGTGGTGGAGAAGAGTGGTTTCTGTGACAGGAGAGTGGTTCTGGACCCTCAGGAGAAACCCAGTGAGGAACCAGTTGGTGACCGAAGGACAGTCATTGATAAAAGCTCTCCCTCGCTAGAATTTTTAGATGAATATGACTCCTGTTCAGAAACCCAGAAGGTGAGTAAAATTCAGGCCAAGGGTCTGTTTTTAATACTCTTGATTAAATCTATTTGGTCTTTCTAGTTTCATCCTGAGTGTTATTAAAAGCTATTCTCAATTTAAAATAAGCAGGGGTTCAGGAAGCTACTGTGGTTCTTTTCGAAAATAACTCTCAGAGTTATTCATAAGCCTCAATTTAGTGCTATGTTTTATTTTTAGAATTGATATGTTTGTTTAGGATGTAGGTTTGGCTGTTCTAACAGAGACCAAAATAACACTGGTTTTAAAAACAAATAAACAAAACAAATTTAAGAATGGATTAAGCTAGTTTGGTTTAAAAAACATGGTTCCCCAGTGTCAGGGTCCCTGGTGTCATCTCTTTTGTTGCTCTGCCACCCCTCAACATGTTTCCATCTGTGATCTAAGATGGCTGCTCTGATAGGAATCTGACATTTCAGTGAGGAATGGGAAAAGAGAAAAGGGTGCTCCTTCTCTTTTAAAGGATTGGCTCAAAAGGTGTGCACAGCATATCCACTTCATGGACAAGAATCTAGAAACCTGGCCAAAACCTAGCTTCAAGGAAGGCTGGGAAATTAACCTTCATCTGGGCAGGTTTATACCCAGATAATCTATTACTATAGAAGAAGGGGAGAATAGTATTGAAAAGAAACTAATTTTCAACATAGCTTGTAACTGAGGATGAGAAACATTCTGCCCTTTTACTACTGCTCCTCAGAGGCATCCCTTTTGTCTCTTATAGCTCTTTTGTCTAGTATTTACCTCTATATTTCTGAGTAATTTTGTACTATTTACTGATTTTTCCATTTTAGACATCATCTGATTTCCTACAAAGATGAGAATTTAGTTCTCTTAGCTTCTTTCAGCAGCAACCAAATCCACAAACACATTCAGTTCCCATTCTACTGCCTCCCTACGAGGTTATAATGCAGTTTTTTACTAACTCAGTATTTGTTGATGTTGTTATTAACACTGGGTTCACATCTGAGTTACCTAATACTTTGATGACATTTCCTTTCTTATGAAACCTTATTAGTGAAAAAGAAATAAGGAAATCGATAACGTTTACAATGTTGTTGTTGTTGTTGTTATTTGCCATCGAGTCGG